AATGGGGAAATTACACTGTGAATTTATTGGGAAGAGTTTTTATAACAGAGTCTTTAGGGAGGGACATTCCACTCTGATTTATGATTCACCTGCTAGCTCAGCCAGGCAGGCAAGGCCATTTGCTCTTCTTATCAGCAGCAGACAAGGCCGTCAGTGTTTGAATTCTGAATACTTCATTCTTCTCTTCAGCCCCCTTTGTCCAGACTTAATAGTGTTGAGATGTAATCCATCTTGAAGGCTGTTGTTTTGCTCTTTTGGAGCAACTGTTTCAAGTCCTACTCATTTTCTGTAAGCAAGGTTGTGTCATCTGCATAATGAAGGTTGTTGATAAGCCTTCCTCTTTAATCCCAATGCCACCTTCTTCTTTGTATATTCCAGCTTCCAACTCTTCACACATTTTGTTATAGAATTTGTTTTGTCTTCTCTATATGTCCTTTGAAGTATTTTTGTTTTCTTCTTTTTTAAATTGATTTGAATACAATAATTTGTTTACATTTTGTTTCATTCATGTACATTGAGTTTTATACAAGCTTTCATTTACACTGTGTTTCATACAATTATTAATATACATTGTATTTTATATAATTAATTGCTAGTGATCTATGTCTATTGTTTTTTTTATTTCCATTCATTCATTGTTGCACATTTTCTTCCCTGCCCACCCCTCCCAGTTTGCTTTTCTCTTGGAAAAGAAAAAAAAATTCTTCCATTGTTGTACAATCCCCCACCCTCACCCCCCAACTCAACTTTACTATAGAGCCCTTATTCTGGACTGTTGTCATGCCAAAAAAATACCTAATCATATACTCCTTTTAAGCAGTTCTATTCCTCCTCTGTTTTAATGCAGTGTGCATTATTTATCTGTTCTTTTCTTAGTTTCTTCCCAACTCTCATGTCAGTGCTGATTTATAACAATGGCATTATGCAGTATTTGTCCTTTTGTGACTGAGATATTTCACTCAGCATAATGTCCCCCAGGGCCACCCATTTTGTATAATATTTCATGAGTTCCTTGTTTTTTCAGTGCTGCACCATATTCCATTGTATGGATATATCACAGCTTCTCTATCTGTTTGTTAATGGGCACTTGGGTTGTTTCCATCTCTTTGCAATTGCGAACAAAGCAGCAATAAACATAGGCGTGCACATATCTGTTTGGGTGGAAGTTTGGGTTTCTTTAGGGTATATTCCCAGAAGCGGAATTGCTGGGTCAAATAGTATTTCTATCTCCAACTTATTGAGAAAGCTTCCTGTCTTCCACAGTGGTTGTACCATTTTATACTCCCACCAAAAGTGAATAAGGGTTCCAGTTTCTTCACAGCTTCACCAGCATTTGTTGTTTGCTGCTCTGTTGAATTTTGCTATTGTTCCTGGGTTGATGTGGTATCTCATAGTTGTTTTGATTTATGTCTCTCTTAAAGCTAGGGATTGTGAACATTTCTTCATGTGTTTGTTCACCATCTGAATGTCTTCTTTGGTGAAGTGTCTGTTGAAATCTTTGTTTAATTCTTTTACTTCAGCATTTCTTCCTTTTGTTTTGGCCTCTCTACATTCTAGTGTAATTTAGATGTAATATGGGAAGTAGAGCCCCTCTGATTGGAAGATATAAAAAAAAATAAGGAGAAATATCTGCAAACAGTCATTAATAATTGGAATGGGGAAATGTATGAAGTATGAATCTAGGAAAATTGGAAGTTGTCAAAAATGAAATAGAACACATAAAGATTGGCATCATGAATGAGTGAGCTGAGATGGATTCGTTTTGGCCACTTTGAATCAGACAATCTAGTATGCTGGGAATGAAAAGTTGAGGAAGAATGAGGTTGCATTCACAGTCAAAAAGAACTTTTCAAGATCTATTCTGAAGTACAATGCTGTGAGTGATAGGATACTATCTATACACATATAAGGAGAATCCATTTATGCAACTATTATTCAAATATATGCACCAACGTTAAAGCCAATGATGAGGAAATTGAGGACTTCTACAAATTTATGCCTGAAATAGATTGAACATGTATTCAAGATGCATTAATAATAATTGGTTCCAGTGGGCTGCTGTCAGTCTACAGCTGTGCTACATGTCCCTGGTGTCCTAGAAGGAGGTGGGCAGTCAATCATGGATCAAGTAATGCAGCTCACAGAACTAATTTGTGAAGGACTCAGTTCAGCTGGTTAAAAGGTGCACCAAATCTGATAAAGAATTTCAGAGAATTCCTATTGCAACAGCAATAGAATTTCATGGAATATAGATTAATAGAATATAATGGATTAATTGACTTCCTTGTGAAATTGATCCATATCCCTATTAAAAAATGCATTGTGGCAGCTGAATAGCTTTTTGGACGAATATTTTTCATCCTGGGATTAGTTGCACAAGCAAGGGTTTGAAAAACTGATGGAGTAAAAATTTGTCACAATTTTTTTCCTTCCAAATTTTTTTCTATTTCTAAATTAAAATACTTTAAAAAATAATTGTTGACTGGAATGCAAAAGTTGGAAACAAAGAAGAAGGATTGGTAGTTGGAAATTGCAGATTTGGTTAACAGAAATGAGGCTGACGATAGAATGACAGAATTTTGTACAATAATTTACTCATTGCAAATATATTTTTTTGAAAAACAAACAGTAAGGGAGCTCTGGTGGCCTAGTGGCAAGAAGCTGCACTGCAATCCCAACTACCAATCAGACAAAGACGCAAGCTTTCAAACGGGCTGCAGTAGCCACCCTACCCCACACCCCCACACACACTGCGCAGGCGTACAAGCAAGCCACTGCTCCGGGAGGTCTTTGCATCCACTAGATGCTCTGCTGGCAAAGGAGGGCAATCTCCTTCTGTACCAGTCAGATCTGATTTGACGGTACATGCACAAAAAAGAATAAAATAAAATTTAAAAAGTTTTAAAAAAACAAACCATCCAGTGACTACAAATGTGGACCTCTCCTGATGGACTACACAGGAATTAAACTGACGACGTAAAGAATTCCATTCTAGGGAGCTCTGGTGGCCTAGTGGCAAGACGCTGCACTGCAATCCCAGAGGTACGCAGTTCAAATCCACCAGATGCTCTGCTGGAGAAGGAGGGAGCAATCTCCTGTACCAGTCAGATCTGATTTGACAGTACACGTAAAAATAATACAATAAAAATAAGAAAATAATTCCATTCTGTGGAAAGAAAGAATGAAGAATCACAAAATCAGCAGTCAAAATAATGCTAGAGGCTGCCTGTGGAACAGACCATCAACTGCTGTTGTTGTTTTGTATATGCCATCAAGTTGCTTGTGACTCAGAGCAACCCTATGTATAACAGCTCTGAACCTTGCTTCATCTTGTGCCAACTTTATTGTCTCTGACACACCTACCCCATTACTCCAGTTACTGAGTCAATCTATCTCATCAGTGGTCTTCCCCTCCTGCACTGTCCCTCCTCCCTCCCAAGCATAATGTTCCTCTCCAAGGAGTAGTCTCCTTGCTACATGCTCAAAGTATGTCAGACAGAGATTCAGAATCCTTGCATCCAAGGAGCAGCCTGGTTTTACCCTCTCCAGGATGAGCCCATTTGTTTTCTTTAACAGTCCACAATATATTCAATACTCTTCTCCACCACCATAGCTCAAAAGCATCAGTTCTCTTTCTATCATCCCTAGTCATTGTCCAGCTTTCCGATGCATAGCACATAACTGCCAAGACCATGGCCTAGATCAGGCATGCCTTCGTTTCCAGACTGACATCATTGCTCTTTAGTACTGAGGAGATGTTCCTGACAGAAAAACATGTACAAATTTAATCTGAAGTTAAAGATCATGAAAAGAAGTCAAGGATTTTTTTAATGAATAATTTTTATTGTGGTTTTAATTAAAGTTTACAGAAAACTTGGAATTCCATTCATTCATTGTTGCACATTTTCCTCCCTATCTCCCCCCTCCCAGTTTGCTTTTCCCTTTTAAAAAAAAAATTCATTCATTGTTGCATAATTTCCTCTCTCTTCACCACCCTGGTTCACTTTGCTATGTACCTCTTATTCTCGACTGTTGTCATGGAAACAATGCCTAATGTTATATTCCTTTTAAACAGTTCTTTCCCTCCTCTGTTCCAATGAAAATAGATTTAACTAATTTATTTAAGTATTACTCAATCCAATAATAGCTATACTACTTCCTCTTCGACTGGAAACATACAGAGATTCATGTTCAAAAGCGTTAGAGACAAGTTCCTGTATTCAAAATCAAGGGGAACTTGAGTTTCAGAAAATACAACTCCTGCTAGGACTTTCCTCTCATTATTCTAAGAGGTTATTTTGCATGACTGGGAATAATGTAAACATTGTGTTGTTGTTATGTACCCTCTAGTTGTAATAGACCCATAGCTAAATGTAATGTGGAATCAAGAGTCACAAGCGACTCGACGACACATAACAACAACAACATCTCATGGACTTTGAGCATGTTGCCAAGAAGAACCAGTCCTTGAAGAAGGACATCATGCTTGGAAGGGTGAAGAGACTGCAGTAAAGGAAGACCCAGGATACATTGACACAGTGACTGGGGTAATCGGTGCGGGTATTAGGAGACAGTGAGATTGGCTCAGGATAGGACAGGGTTCAGAGCTATTGTACCCTCTGGTCTCTTTGAGTCGCAGGCGACTCGACGGCACATAACAACAACTACCAATCAGACAAAGACGCAAGCTTTCAAACGGGCTGCAGTAGCCACCCTACCCCACACCCCCCCCACACACACTGCGCAGGCGTACAAGCAAGCCACTGCTCCGGGAGGTCTTTGCATTTGGCGCGAAATCCTTGCACATTGGGAGGAGACTCGAGAGAAGCAGCTACTCATTGGGCAAGTTTGGCGCGAAATCTCGGAGCTCCTGCGCTGCGATTGGCTCGGGCGGTCCGGCGGGGCGGAAGCGGCTGCCGCGCGCGCTGAGCTGCAGGGTCCTTGGAGAAGCAGCTCGTGGTGCCCGGGTGTCTGTTTGTGCGCCCCAGCTCCGGCCAGTGATGGACCTTGCGGCGACAGCAGAGCCGGTCGCTGGCTCCCAGCACCTGGAAGTCCGCGACGAAGTGGCCGAGAAGTGCCAGAAACTGTTCCTGGATTTCTTGGAGGAGTAAGTGGGCCGACGCGCAGGCCTTCCCCGGGGCCGCGGGCTCCCATCCCCCGCGGGCACCGCGCCTCCCCGCCAAAAGCCGGCCGCCGTGCGCCCCCCGCCCGGGTATCCCTGCACGGAGGGTTCGCGCCGCCTAGTGAAGCCCAGTGGGACCGCCTCCGGGCCCCTTTGTGGTCCCTAGCGCGTGCATGGAGTTGGGCTGGCTCTGGGAGTAAAGCCATGTCTCGTGCACGATACCCTGAGCGTTACGGCGCAGGGAGTAGGGTGGGTGGTGGTGTGCACCTTTGCCTTGAAACAGACTCATAGATGAGCCTGCAGCGGGTTTCAGAGACAGTGAGCCGCAGGGGATGTTAGTGCCTGTTCTTCTCCCCAAGAGCAGCTAGTGGAGATTCGAACCTTTAGCCACTCTGTTGCAGTGCAGCTCCTTACCACTAGGTCTCAGGGCTCCCTCGCTCGTTACCTGTGCGGAAACGGGTTCTGGGAAGATAGGTTGCCCAGGTGGACCCGGCGGCCTTCACCAAGAAGCACACAGGTATTTGCGTCCTTGGCAGAGCCCCGATGGGGCCGGCAGGGTCCTATCTGCCGTCACGGCACCCCCGGTCTCCGTGGGAACCTGCGGGTTTGAAAATTTCAGTGTGAACATTGTGAGCTGCCCAGCAGGGTTCCCTCCCATTTCCTTTCCTTCCCCTCTCAGTAGTCTATGGCCCCGTGCACCTGTTAACTCTTCCTTGGCTCATCCCACCCCCGGAGGAAATGGAAACATTTAGGATTGTCATGTAACTATCTATAAATCACCGTAGAACCTTTGGGTATGTCATTCTCTGCCTGACAGCTACTCATCTCTCTAAAACCCAGCTAAGGATTCACACCTCCTCGGTGGCACATTCATAACCCTTTTTGATAACAAGAATCTCTTTTTTCAGTATGCAGGTGCCGTTTGCCACGTGTCCCTAATCCCATGCCTGTCAGCCACTGAGCAAACTCCATCCAAGCCCCCATCATAAAGGTCTTCACTAATTACTCCAACAAATCGAGGAAATGGCTTCACTGTACCATCCTCCTCGATGAAGTGGATAGAGATTCTGCTGACAGATTGCCTCTCTACATTGTTGAGGGGCAAAAAATTGATTCTTGAAAACCCAAGTTTGCTCATGAAATAAAGTCCACATTCCTCATAAGATGTATTATCTTCCACAGACTCCATTGTGCACACCCCTTCCCACCACCCCTCACTTTGCTGCTGTTTACACCTATCTACTATCCTTGTTATTTTTTGAAAATTTTACCATCTTTAAAGGCTGAACATCAATGCTTACTTTTGTATTTAACGTTCTTGATGTCCGTCGAGCAGAATTATCTTTACAGGACCATGTTTTTGGTGCTTACATTTAATGGAAGTGCCCTTCTCATCCTTAGTTGTTTACACCTATGTCTCCTGTGAGTTTCAGCCCTAGGACTGGAGCAACACGTGCATTTCCAGGGCAGGTCACTCTGTCAGCTGTGGGGGGGTTTTCCCCTTCAAAGGTTCTGTGTGTAGATAACCAAATACATATTTAAGAGTTAGAGCATGCTATATTTATAAGAGAGATTGGTTCTGTTTCAAAACTAATCTGTATATTTAGAAGAACATATTATACCCTTTGGGAGGAGGAGAAATCTGACAGTACTGTGTATATTTTCATTTCCCTGAGTCTTAGTCAGTAAAGCTCTTTATTTTTTGTTCTGATCAATCTGTTTTTAGTTCCACTTTGTTGGATCATCTTAGTGTTTTAACCTAAATTTCTTTATTGAAACTTCATTCTAAAATTAGTAGTTGGTATAGATGGAAAACCCCATTTATTTTGCAAACTTCCACTTAACACAAGCTTTGTCTGACATACTTTGGGCATGTTGCAAGGAGGGACCAGTTCTTGGAGAAGAACATCATGTTTGGGAGAGTGGAGGGACGGTTCAGAATAGGAAGACCCTCAATGAGATGGATCGATTCAGTGATTGGGGTAATGGGAATGGGTGTGTCAGAGACAATGAGGTAGGCACAGGAGAGAGCAGGGTTTAGGGCTCTTGTATATAGGGTTGCTATGAGTTCTCTTGTATATAGGGTTGCTATGAGTTGCAAGCGACTAGATGACCCAACAACAATAATAATTTAACATTTGAGCTTTGTTAGTTGATTGAAAAATAGTAGTATACTTGAGAAAATCAGATTAAAAGGCCAGGGTTCTTATTTTAACTCCTCAATTTAATCTGTCTAATGTGTCCACAGGTTTCAGACCAGTGATGGAGAAATAAAGTACTTGCAGTTGGTAGAGGAGCTAATTCGTCCTGAGAGAAACACATTGGCTGTGAGTTTTGTGGATTTGGAACAGTTTAACCAGCAGCTTTCTACCACCATTCAGGAGGAGTACTACAGGTAGGGGCCTTGCTGTTGACTTAAGTACATTGCACCTGCTTCTCCTGTCCCTGTGAGACAGGAGGGTTGTTGGCTAACAGTTACTTACCTCTTCAGAGAAGAGGCTTTTTGATACAATTTGTTATTTTAGGACTGCTCTACACTTTAACCTACATCTTCCTAGAGCTAAATATTGTTTACATGCAAATGTTGAAAACCTTTGTTTTCTACGCAGCTTTGACTGGTTTTAAGACGATCACTTATTTTATGTATTTAATACTATTGTTGTAATGTTCATTTGATTACCACACCAAAGCCCTGGAAAAATTGTGTGTGTCCCAGTCTTCTACAGGTGATATCATACAGCAGGGATGTTGTTACAGATTTCATCTTTAAAGCTTAGCATGCTTAAATGAAAATATTTGCTTACTGTAGAAAAACCGGGAGGGAAAGATCTCATCAGTGTGTGTGTGTGTGTGTGTGTGTGTGTGTGTAATCCCAGCACTCCCAAGTAGGTTCCAGAAACCTTCCAAGTGTGTAAATGCCAGAAGATCTCCTGACACATGTGGGGGTGTGTATAATTTTGTAAAAGCAATTTTGGCATCATGTTGTAGATAGAGCACCCTTTATCATTTTAATGATACATTTTTCCATGTCTCATAAAATTTCTTGAAAACATCTGAATAGCTAAAGGACATTTTTTTTCTGCTCTTTTTTAAACTTTTTTTTTTTTTTAATTTTTTTAAAAAAATTTTTTTATTGGAGAGCTCTGGTATCCTAGGGGTAAGACGCTGCACTGCAATCCCAGAGGTATGCAGTTCAAATCCACAAGATGCTCTGCTGGAGAAGGAGGGGTCAAGCTCCTCCTGTACCAGTCAGATCTGATTTGACGGTACACATAAAAAATAATACAATAAAAATTTTTACAAAGTCCCTCCTTCCCCAGCAGAGCATCTGGTGAATTTGAACCACATACTTCTAGGATTGCAGTGCAGCTTCTTGCCACTAGGCCACCAGAGCTCCTTTAAAGGACATTTGTTAAAGAAATATTATCGGAATATATTATACTTAATAACTTGGATTTCTTCTTTAATTCTTATATAAAGAGAGAAACATTTTTTTAAAAGAGAGGTGCAGACCCAAGTGTAAGAAAGCCTGATCCTGCTCCTCACTTGTACATAGGGAGATTAGAGACATGTGTTGCTGATTCTCCATCATAGTGGTTGCTGGGCCAGCAGCAGTGGTTGGAGGGATGGGCAGCAGTTTGTGGTAAAGGTGTGCAATAGAAAGGACTTCCCACAGTGGGAGAGGCAGAAATCAGGACTTGATGTAGACAGGTCTCTGCCGTGACTTATGCAACAGCCAAGTAGCAGTGCCGTCTCCCAAAAGTAGGGCCTGTTTTGGAGGACTTTCAGATCCCATTACTCAGACAACTGCAGCTGTTGTTTATCGAGAGGATATACACACTGTCTCCTAGTCAAACAAGATGTGTCCTCTCACATCGCCACAAGATTCCTGCCTGCCCTTGTCCATTTATTATAAATAAAAAACGGAACATGAAAAGATAACACTAGCCTTGACATCAGAATGGGAGATATTTTTCCAGAGAAAACCCATGGTATTGAATGTAGCACAAAGAAGATGATTGTTCAGATAGATCATCTGGAGCCGATGCTGTGTGTACTCAGTGATTAATGCTAGATAATGAAGTTAGCAGTGTATCTTTGGTGTTTCTTTGTATTAGATCTTCTTATTGAAAGAGGCTTCCAGACCCAGACTAGATGGCATAAATTTGCTGTATATTTAGGTTTTAAGATTTGCAAGTAACTAGGTAAAATTAGACTTTAAACTAGGTCTGAGCTTTTAGCAGGCCTGTTAAGGAAAGGAGGCCTCATTTGGCTTTTTATTTATTCATTCATTGTTGCACATTTTCCTCCCCCTTTTTCTTTCTCCTCCCCCAGTCCACTTTACAATGCCCCTCTGGTCATATATAAAATACCTGGTAATATATTCCTCTTAAATAGTTCTTTCCCTCATCTGTTCTAATATAGTGCTCATTATCTCTTCCCATTCACCTCTCAACCCCCATGTCAATCTTGTTCTGCAACAGCAGTGTTATGCACTATTTGTCCTTTTGTGACTGAAATATTTTGCTCAGTATCATGTCCTAAAGGTTCACCCACGTTGAGTAATATTTTACAGTGTCATTGCTTTCCAGTGCTGAGTAATACTCCATTGTGTGAATGTACCATTATTCTCTCCATTCTTTTTTTGCCAGGGACTTGAGTTGCTTCCATCACTTTTGCTGTTGTGAATAATGCAACAGTAAACATGGGTGGGCATACATCTGTTTGATTCACAGCTGTTTCTTTAAGGTATATTCCCCAGTAGTGGGATTGCTGTGTCAAAAGGTATTTGTACTTGCAACATTTTGAGAAAGCACCAGACTGCCTTTCATAGCGGCTTTGCTAGTTTACATTCTCACCAGCAGTGAATAAGAGTTCTAGTCTCTCTACAACCTTACCAGCATTTTTTATTTGCTGCCCTGTTGAACTTTGCTGTTGTTTCTGGAATGAGATGGTATCTCAGAGTTCATTTGGCTTTTTAAAGATTTTAGTTGATTGTATGTTTGTTTTACAGAGTTTACCCTTACCTTTGTCGGGCCTTGAAAACCTTCGTCAAAGACCGTAAAGAAATCCCTCTGGCCAAGGACTTTTATGTTTCATTCCAAGACCTGCCTACCAGACACAAGTAAGAAACTTACCTTTGCAAGAAGTGGAGGTCATAAATTGTATAAATCACACCAAACAAACTAGCTGCCTTCAAATAGATTCTTATTCACAGCAACCCTATAGTATAGAGTGGAACTGCCTACTAGGGTTTCTGAGACTTTTTTTAAGGAGGTTTATTAGGGCCCTAAAACAGAGGCCTAGTTGGTGAAGGGTAGAAATGGGCTGGCTGTGCAAAAGAGTTGAAAAAGAAAAAGGGGCAGAGTACCTTTGGGAAGACAGTAGCTAAGCCAAACCTTAGGACACGCTGTCAGCAGCATAAGGGTGAAAGAAGAGTCCAGCTATAACCTTTTAAGGAAATGACAGTCATATCTTTGTCCCAACACAGTTTATGGAATTGAACTGCTGATTTTTTAGTTGGCAGCTCTGTACTTTAATCATCACACCATCAGGGCTGCTTTCAAATAGTGAAAACCCAAAGCTATTGCCATCAAGGCACTCCAGTGCAAGACAGGCCTCCATCTGGCCTCTCAGGATACAAGTTTTTATGGGAGGAGAGTGCCTTTCTATCTCTCACATGGCAGCTGGTGAATTTGTAGCACAACATATGAACACTGTGCCATCTTAAACTCAACAAGTCAGGATTGATTCATGGCCACCCCTCCTTTGAGATTATACAGCAGATTGTCCATCTTTTTCCCGTGGAGTCATTGGTGGACTTGAACCTATAAGAGAGGTGTGTGGCCTTTGAGTTTGTAGCATGACTCCATAGATACTCTGCCACCAGTGTTCCCTCCCAGGAATAAGGATACCATTTAATTGGCCATCAGAAAACTTGGTAGATTGTGGTCCAGCTGGCTGTTTAATGTCATGCAAATAACTTTTTTTTTCTTTAAAAGATTTTTTTTTAAATTTTTTTTATTTTCTGTGTATGTACTATCAAATCAGATCTGACTATTACAGGAGGGGATTGCCCCTCTTTCTCCAGCAGAGCATCTGGTGGATTCAAAGCACGTACCTCTGGGATTGCAGTGCCGTTCTTTGCCACTAGGCCACCAGAGCTCCCTGCAAACAGCTTTTGACTTCTCTGGATTTCAGTGTTATCTGTAGATTCTAACTAAATCAACATTGTTATAAAATGACCTTTTCATGGTAGTGACAAAAATAGTGAAGAGTTCTATAAGCTAGTGTTGCAAAGATAGGGGGAGGGGGAATAGTGGAAGTTATCCAGAAAGTTTTGTGTAAGAGAAAAAAGTTTTCCTATGAGGAAAAACATGTTAAGTGAAGCAGATTATCAGAATAGTCCTACTTTAGGATATCTTTTTGAGAAGTTGGTGGCTGGGAATAACATTAGTCAGGTGAGCCAATTTGAAAACAGAAATCAAACAAGTTCAGACATCTTTGGGAAACTATCACATACTAAAACTTTGAAACCTATTTTAGCAGTTATTTCGTAGAGAGTATGTTCCACTGCTTTGTGAAGTAAAGAACATGTTTCTGAAATTTTAGTACAGTTTTTCCTTTGATAAAGTTAAGATCATTCTGTTATAGGATATATTTTCATTGCTTGGTTATGTGGTTTAGGGGTTTACATTTTGTTACATCATATTATACAATTTAACTAGTCCCCATTGTTAAAAGCTAAGATTATCTTTTACTTAAAGGTTTAGAGAGGATGTTGTATGTTCACATATCCAAAATTCAGTATCTGATCCTTCATATACATTTTAATAATGTGAATTAAAATTGATGAATGTCATTAATGACAGTACCTGATCAGCCTCATTGTATATTACCTTTTCCTTCAAGTTTTTGGTTTATTCCTTTTACACCTCTCTTACCATATCTATTAATCCTCAAAGAATGGTTCTGCTTTTAATGTGTACCTTTTTTCAGGATTTCAGAAAACTGGATTTATGTCATATTAGCCCTTTGTGATTACCTTACTTAGGCTTTGCATGAGCCTCTAGGTTCAGCCATGTTAGGCAGTGGTTTGGTGGACTTTTCTGGTTTTTTAGTGTTGTGTCGTACTCCATTGGGTAACTACTGTAATTTGTCCATTGATGAGCACCTGAGTTATTTTCATCTCTTTGTAAATAGCACAGCAGTAAACATGTATATGCATTTATCTGTTCGTGGAGCAGCTTTTACTTACATATATACCTTATAGTAAGATTGCTAGATTAAATGATATTTCTGTTCTCATTTTACATTCCCACTAGAAGGCTATGAGTGTTCCCGTTTCTCCAGACCCTTGCTAGAATTTGTTTGCTATTGTTGTTGCTGAGGGAGATGATATGTTATTGCCATTTTTCTTTCCTAATCTCCGATAGCTAATGTGGGAGCTCTGGTATCCTAGTGGATCAGAAGTTCTGTTGCCAACCCAAAGACAGGCAGTTTGAATCTACTAACTGCTGCATGGGAGAAGATAGGCAATCTCCTCCCTTGAGATTTGTAGCCTCTGAAAACTCGCTGGAGGCACAGCTGAGAGTTGGTTCTGACTCGATGGCACATAACAGTAGCAACAGCAATAGAGAATGATCTTGAACATTTCTTCATGTATTTGTTGACCATCTAAATGTCTTTGATGAAGAATCTTTTCTTATCCTCTGCCAATTTTATAATTATCTTTTTCTTGATGAGTTGATGAATTCTTCTAGGGATGAGTTCCTTGTCAGGTATGTTATTGCCAAATGTTTTTTTCAAGGTCTGTAGGCTCTCTTTTTATTTACTCTTTTAAATAAATCTTTTTGATGCACATGAAGATTTAATTTTGAGGATGTTCCAGTTGTCTGGATTCTTTTTTAATTTTAAGCTTTTTAATCTTCTTTATTAGTTTTTATTGGTGGTTTTTCTCATTACTATGAATGTTTCTTACAAGTTAGGAATTAACACAGTCAATAGTTTGTATGGGAGAGTCCAAAGAATAACTTGTCCCTTGATAATACTTTTACTCATAAATTATTATTGACTACCATCTCATTAAAATAAAAATCTTTTATTAGTGGGGAAATAATAGCGTTTACTAATGCACATTTGTTTGTAAACAGAATTCGAGAACTGACTTCCTCCAGAATTGGTTTACTGACACGTATCAGTGGGCAGGTGGTCCGGACTCACCCTGTTCACCCAGAACTGGTCAGTGGGACTTTTTTGTGCTTGGACTGCCAAACGGTGATCAAGGATGTAGAACAGCAGTTTAAATACACACCACCAAACATCTGCCGAAATCCAGTTTGTGCCAACAGGAAGAGATTCTTGCTGGATACAAACAAATCAAGATTTGTTGATTTTCAGAAGGTATGTACTTAACTTTTGTTTAGGTCAGTTCCAGGCTTTGCCAATAATTCATTTCTACGCCTTTGAAATAGTTTATTGAGAAAATATTAAGTTCACTTTTTGTGTAAGGTCAAATAGCAAATGTGGCTATAGTTTTCAAACCAAAAACTTAATACATTTCAGTTGTCTGTTTATAAATGATTTTTAACTTAGACTTTTCAGAGAGTAGTTCTTGTTATAACTGGAGATAAATCCTTAGAGGAGGAGAAATTTATTAGGATGAGACTAATCAGAGTGACAACAACGTGACTGGAATGTCAAGCACCGCACCGGGTGATGGTCATCAGTGATAGCTCTGAGTTCAGAGTATCCAGACTGAGAGATCTAAGAGCAGATTTGGTATAAGATAAAGGGGTACTATAAAGCCACTCTGGGACACAGTTTGGAGTTTCCTAGGAATATACCCCGAGAAAATTAGAACTGACACAGATTTGTACACCAGTGTTCATAGCAACGCTAGTCACCATTGCAAGGACATGGAAACAGCCCAAATGTCCAACCACAACCAAATGAATTGAGAAATGTTGATATATTCACACGATGGAATACTACACAACACGCAGGAGCAACGATTTAAAAAATATACTACATAGCTTGTGAGAGACTGGAAAACATTATGCTGTGTGAACTAACTTAGTCTCATAAGGACAAATACTGCATAAGACCACTATTGTAGAAATAGATAACTAGTAAAACATGTATGAGGATCCATGGGATGAGGGTGGGGGCAGAGGCGAAATCTTAGGGTCACACAATTTGTTGGGTAGAGGGAGGGAGAGGTAAAGAAAATGGGAAAGATCCAGTGGGGATCTGGAAAGACAGGTGGGCATAGCTCAAATGAGTGGGAATGATTGAAATACAGTGTGAATGAAGGATAATGTGAAACACAGTGTATATGAACTTTGTAAGCAAACCAATATAAAAATGTAAAAAAAGATGTGGGGTACTTTTGAGAAATTTTAACCTGTCTTGAAAAAGCAAGAGAAATATCATTTGAGATGGTATTCAGAGCAGATATTCACGTAGCCATTTGGAACAGAAAAAGGAAACCATATGTATTTTGAAAATAATTCTCTTTTTAGTGGCACTTTACACAACCCAGCATATATCACGTAGCCATTTGGAACAGAGAAAAAGGAAACCATATGTATTTTTAAAATAATTCTCTTTTTAGTGGCACTTTACACAGCACAGCATATATCTGCTGATAGTTTCTATGTTAATATTTCTTGTGTACGTACTTCACAGTATAATACCGATATCTCTGCCTAGGTTGTTTGATCATCATTAGTTTAAACTCTGTGCCCCTTATAGTCATTGTCTTGTGCTTTAGATTAACTGTTGTCACTTTAAATCTATTATAAAAGTACTATGCTCCAGACAAACATGATTAAATTGTTTCTTTAAATATAGTTTATTTAAATATAGTGCCATGGGATAAGTTAAGATCTAAAGACTATTTCTACGCATTTGATAAGGGAAGTTCTCCTGTTCTTCAAGCATCTTGTAAGCCTGGTTTTTATATGAGTTTGAAATTTGCTTCCACACTTTGGCTCAGGATTTGTATATTGAGCCCTTGATGATGATGTTGAGAAATGGTAGCTGGGCACCATTCCTTTCTCATCCCAGGTTAGTAAAGAGAAGGTTATTGGACAGTACAACTGGTAACCTGTTTCCTTCCCCAGTTTTTGAGTCTTCTCTTGCCTCTGCTCTTGGAGAAAATACAGTCCAATGTCTCAAATTTTTAATACAAAGATGTTCAGTCTTCTTAATAAATAGAAAAGAATTAAAATAGCGGAGTAAAATAGTCCAAGTATCAGATTAAGCTTTAACTATAAAATGTTAAAGTTTAATACTCCGTTTTCAGCAAAGGTACTGATAAATTTGGTCCCTCCCACTATTTTTAATTGGTTTTAGTTCAATGGCTTTCGACTTTTCTATCGGCTGGAAACTGGAAGATGAAGCGGGTCGGGGAACAGTGCCAAATGCTAAGCTTTTTGATCACGCCTCATTTCTTTTTAAGTCCGCAGGGTTGGTCTTAGCAGTAGATAAAGCTGTTTTCAGTGGGAGGAATTCTTTCTCACGGGCCCCCTTCCGAACGGTAACATGGGCGGAGGTCCTCCTGTTGACACCTTGCTTCACCTGGTCCTGTGAGCCGCTGGCCTGGCTCCTGATAGGAGGTCACACAAGCTGTCTCTTGTGAGAGGCGGTGTTCCCGTTCTCTGTGGCAGAAGTCACCTCCGAGGCTCTGGCCCTAATTGGTTTTAGTTCAGTCATATATATTTTGTATATTTTGTTTCATAACAACAATTAAGATTATAGAACGCTCTTATTTACAGTGTCCTATGGTGACCTCACTGTGTGCTCCCTTTCCCATCCTGCCCTACCTTACCCATCAGTTCACTTATCTCTGCTCCCGTCCCTGTCTGTCAACCCTCCACAACTGCCAAACAGTAGTTTTTTTACTCCGAAGTGGACTTTTATCTCAAGTTTATCATATGTAAAAGTCACAGGAAAGAGACACAAATGGGCCCAATTGGATTTCCCTATCTGCTTTACACATCTTCTCCCTTAAACTGTTGGTGGATTGGAACCTCTAGAGTCATATATGGCTTTTGGATTATCAGAGTAATAACATCTACAGATTAGGCCACCAAAGCTCACCTTATAGGATTGTCAGTTGTTTGACTGAAAATGGATTTTTTTTTTCCCTCTAGACTTGAAGCATGACTAAGGCCATAGTCTCAGGGTTTCATTAGTCTCTATTGGGCCAGGGAAGCTAGAGTTTTCTTGTTTCCTCTACCCTGTCTACAATCTACTGTGATCCGTTTTGTTGTTATTAAAAGCCATATGAGTTGTAGGTGACTCATAGTGACCCTTTGAATGAAAGTCCTTGACACTTGCGTGACTTTCATCCTTTCTCCAGGTTCATAGGGTTTCCAGAGGCAAGCTATGTACGGAAGTGGATGCCACTTCTGCTTCCAAGTTTGTTTTAATCAGTGAGCTCCACCAAACACTGTCCACCATGGGGTAACCATTATCGTATTTGACACAACAGTGTCACAGTGTTCAGCTTCTCACACATATAATGCATAGTCATATATTCCTTTTGAATGGTCCCTCTCCTCATCTGTTCTAATGTTCATTATCTAACCAGTCTTTCCCCATTCCATCTCCAATCCCCCCCATGTCTATCCTATTTTATAAAAGTAGTATTTATCCTTTTGTGACTGAGATATTTCACTTAGCATAATGTCCTCAAGGCTTCCTCATGCTGTATAATATTTCACTATTTAATTGTTTTTAATTGATATGTAGTATTCCATCGTGTAAATGTTTTGGGTTTTTTTTGTTGTTGTATATCATCAAATCAGATCCAACTGGCACAGGAGGAGATTCCCCCTCCTTCTCCAGTGAAGCATATGGTAGATTCCAACTGTGCAGCTTCTTGCCACTAGACCACCAGAGCTCCCTTTACCATGGTTTTTTTTTTGCTTGCTATCTATGTTTTCTTTTTCTATAATTATATTTTATTAATTTTCATAAACATTTACAGAGATTTTGGGTTTCCATTCATTCACCGCTGCACCATTCTCTCTACCCTCCTCCCAGGTTGTTCTTGTCCAAATGCCACAGTGCTTGTCAAAGCCAGTTCTGATTAATCTTCTTTGTCAGTGTGTCCTTTGCCTTTCCCTATCACTCCTCCCTGAGAGAGACTTCACCCTGAGTCATAAGGAAAAGGGGATGGCATATTCTCTTAGCTACTTCCTGCTGAAAAGGGACGCTGTGGGTTTCAGGGTGAAGATCTTCTCTCACTACTCTAAAGGGCCCCTTTGGCAGTAGGAAACACATAGACTATTATGGAGATTGATTTTGGAATTTAGATGCACTCTTATTGATTGTGCTTGGCCATACATGTTCATATCCTTGAAGATGTATCATGGGGGTGTTGCAACCTAGAAGACACAAATTTGACTAACAAGTTATAAGTACATGAGTCAAAAATTATGGAAAAGTAAAAGAAAAGATTCTTTCATTGTTCCACAAACCCCCCCCAGGCCCCCTCCACCATGCAGCCCTCGCTCTAGACTCCTGTGATGACAGAAACACCCAGTTATATATCTCTTTTAAACAGTTCCCTCCCTCCTCCGCCTCAGTGCAGCACACATCATTGAACCCATCTTACTCAGTCTCTCCCCAACCCCAAGGACAGTCCCATTCTACAACAGTGGCATCATGTAATATTTGTCCCTTTGTGACTGGGATATTTCACTCAGCATAATGTTCTCCAGAGTCAACCATTTTGAATAATATTGCATGAGTTCCTTGTTTTTTAATGCAGCATAGTATTCCATTGTGCGAATATACCACAGCTTCTCTAGCCATTCGTTTGTTGATGGGCACTTAGGTTGTTTCCAACTCCTTGCTATTGTGAACAAAACTGCAATAAACATGGGTGTACATATATCTGCTTGGATGTCAGCTATGGTCTCTTCAGGGTATATTCTCAGGAGTGGAATTGCTGGGTCAAATGGTATCTCTATTTGCAACTTTTTGAGAAAGCGCCATACTGCTTTCCACAGGGGTTGCACCATTTTACACTCCCACCAACAGTGAATCAGGGTTCCAGTTTCTCCACAACCTTGCCAGCATTTGTTGCTTGCTGTTCTGTTAAATTTTGCTATTTTGACTGGGGTGAAATGATATCTCATAGTTGTTTTAATTTGCATCTCTCTTAGGGCTAGGGATTTTGAGCATTTCTTCATGTGCTTGTTAGCCATCTGAATGTCGTCTTCGATGAAGTGCCTGTTCATATCCTGCGCCCATTTTTCTATTGGATTATTTACCTTTATCTTGTTGTGGTGCTCAAGTATTTCATAAATTCTGGGTATAAGTCCCTTATCTGATATGTTATTACCGAATACTTTTTCCCAGTCAGTGGCTTCCCTTTTTACCCTACTGGAGAAGTTTTTGGATGTGCATAGGGATGTCTTTTTTTTTATCCATTCATTTATTGATGGGCGCTTGGATGGCTTCCATCTCTTTGCTACTGTGAATAATGCAGCAGTAAACATGGGTGTGTTTACATCTGTTTGCATTGTGACTCTGTTTCTTTAGGGTATATTCCCAGTAGTGGGATTGCTGGGTCAAATAGTATTCCTATTTCCAGCTTACTGAGAAAGTGCCAGACTGTCTTCCATAGTGGTTGTACCATACCATTTTACATTCCCACCAGCAGTGTGTAGGAGTTGCAATCTCTCCAACCTCTCCAGCATTTGTTGTTTGCTGCCCTGTTGAACTTTGCTGTTGTTGCTGGGGTGAGATAATATCTCATAGTTGCTTTTATTTGCATCTCTGATAGCTAGGGATTTTGGACATTTCTTCATATGTTTGTTTGCTGTGTGAATGTCTTCCTTGGTGAATTGTCTGTTCGTATCCTGTGCCCATTTTATGATTGTTTACCTTTTTTCTTGTTTGGGTGCTCTAGTATTCTGTAAATTTTAGATGTAAGTCCCTTATCAGCTATGTCATTGCCAAATATTTTTTCTCTGTCTATGAAGAAATTTTTTTATGTGTATAGGAATTTGATTCTTAGACGGTCTCATTCATCTTATTTTATTATCTCCTGGTTGTAGGTTTTTCATTATGCTTGGAAGGCTGTTCATGCTGTGGGTTAGGTCTTCTAGAGTTGTTCCTAGCTTTTCTCTGATTAATTTTACAGTCTTTGGTTTTACTTACAGGTCCCTGATCCACCTTGAATTTATTTTAGTTTAAGGTGAAAGACATGGGTCTTGCTTAAGTTTTCTGCAGATGGTTTTCCAATTTTGCTGACATCATTTGTTTAAGAGACTATCCTTTTCCAAAGTAACTGAGTTTGTCTCCTTTTCCAACTTAACTGATTTTGTCTCCTTGTCAAAGAGCGTTTGACCACAGGTGGAAGAGCTGACTTCAGGGTTCCCAATTCTTTTCCATTAATCTATGTGTTTGTTGCTTTGCCGGTACCGTGCTGTTGTTTTGGGTTTTGTTTTGGTTTGGTTTTGGGTTTGTTTGGGTTTTTTTTTTTTTATTTCAAGTACCATGTGATCTTGACCACCACTGTGTAGTAGAATTTGAGATTAGTGAGTGTGATACTAGCTACTTTGTTTCTCTTTTTCAGTAGTGTTTTACTTACTCAGGGTCTCTTTCCATTCCAGATAAAATTAGCAATTGTCATTTCCATCTTGTTGAAGAATGGAGTTGGTATCTGTATTGAAATTGCATTGAACTTTTAGGTTGATTGCCGTTGGTAGTATTGTCATTTTCACGATATTGAGTCTTCGTATCCATAAGCATGGTATATTTTTCTGTTTCTCCAGATCTCTCTCTGTTTCTTGTCCTCTGTATAGGTCTTTTATGTCTCTAGTTTATTTCTTTATTTCCTAGTATTTCATCCTGTAGTTAGATATTATAATTGATTACTGTTTTTCTTAGCTCCATTTCAATATTCTCTTTGTCACTGTAGAGGAATCCAACTGGTTTTTGTATGTTGATCTTGTATCCTGCTTCTTTGTTGAATTGGTCAACAATGTCCAATTGTTTTCTTGCTGAATCTTTAGGGTTTTCTAAATATACTATCATAACATATGCATATAGAGATAATTTTACTTGGAGAATTTTTAGGATGAATGTTGGTCTGTGTCAAAGACCAGAAATGATGATAGTTTAGTAAATGTTTGTATTTGTGGCAGTTGTTTTAGGTCACATTTGAAAGAGATCTCTTCTCATTTTTGACCACTCATTTGTATTATAGGTTCGGATTCAAGAGACTCAAGCTGAGCTTCCTCGAGGGAGTATCCCTCGCAGTTTAGAAGTGATCCTGAGAGCTGAAGCTGTCGAGTCAGCTCAAGCTGGGGACAAGTGTGACTTTACAGGGACCCTGATTGTTGTACCTGATGTCTCCAAACTTAGCACACCAGGTGGGTGTCTCTGGCTCAGGCTTAGCAACTCTACAGTTGCCTGAATTCAGTTGTTTGCTCCATGCATACTTTTTTGGGGGCGGGGGGAGGGGGGGCGGGTGTCTTCTTTTTTGCTACTGATCATAGGGCAGCATGTGAGAATAAGAATTAATTGATCTTATACAAAACGTGATGATCAGAAAGCTTTCAAAGCCTACATGAAATGTTAGGATTTAAAGATTTTATTCATTTGAGTGATTTTTGTACTCAGCACCTCCGGTATTTTAGAGTTGGCTGTGAAACAGCCTCTTGTTGACTCTTTCAGGGGCACGTGCAGAAACAAACTCGCGCGTCAGTGGTGTGGATGGCTATGAAACCGAAGGCATCCGAGGCCTCCGGGCTCTTGGTGTCAGAGACCTTTCTTACAGGCTGGTCTTTCTTGCCTGTAGTGTTGCACCAACCAACCCAAGGGTGAGTCTTAACAGAATGGTGATACCTAAGAAACTCAACCCTCGAGGCTTCAGGAACATCCAGAGCGAGCTAATTGATGTAGGCGGTGAGGGGGAGGTTAAAGTTTAAAGTATGCTTTTGGTCATCCTCCTGAAAGAGGTTTAAATAGATTTATTAATCTGAGAAATAAAGTCTTTGTGAGTGTGATGGACTCTGGATTACAGTTCCCTTAAACTTTATTTTGTATCCTGAGTGGGGAAAAGTTGTGGAAACGAATTCAAGTAATAGAAAAAGGATGAACTTAATACACTGTTAGTTCTTGTACTTTTTCATATCATTAGCATTCTGATCTCACTCATCTCTCAAGCATCCAGATTCATTTAAGTAGCATTATAAAATGGTGTTGTTAGCATTGTTTGGTTTTTTCATTCACTGCCCAAATGATAAACCCTTAAGTATCTTGTTTATCAAAGACCTTAGTAGTTTGAGGATTTTAAAACTTTAATCAGATTCCGAGTTTGATCGCCCAGGTGTATTTTGCCTTAAAGTTCCTCCTTTTGTAGTCACGTTTTAGCTGCTACTTTTTCTAATACTTTTTTCCCTTTTTCCTTGCTCCTCAGTTTGGAGGGAAAGAGCTCCGAGATGAGGAGCAGACAGCAGAGAGCATTAAAAACCAGATGACTGTGAAGGAGTGGGAGAAGGTGTTTGAAATGAGTCAAGATAAAAACCTATACCACAACCTTTGTACCAGCCTATTTCCCACTATCCATGGTAAGAGGTCTATATGTTTGTGTTTTGAGGGCCAGAACTAAACAGGAGTACATTCCACTGTGTAGCCAAATTAGTCTCCTGACTTTTCTCCTTTATTTCTTGGTGTCTCCTTTCATTTTCTAGAGTGGTGGTTTGGTGGGTTTTCTTGGCTATTTATGCACAGGCCTTTGGCACTCTCACATATTATCCCTGGGTAGCAGCTGCTCACTGTCATTTATTCAATCCCCTTTTTGTGCTTGACTTTTCAGTTTTCATATAAAGCTTTCCTTTTATATTCCTCCATCTGCTGTATATGTTTTTTGGGGGGTTGGGGTTTATTTTTTATTTTTAATTAATTTTAATGAAAGTTTACAAACACTTTGGGTTTCCAGTTATTCACTTTTCTCCCTGCCCACCCCCTACCCCCAATTCACTCTTCTCCTGAAAAGAAAGAAAAACTCTTTCATTGTTATTCAGTCCCTTCCCCCACTCCACTATGCAGTCCACTCCACTATGCAGCCTTCACTCTGGACTTCTGTAATGACAAGAATACCCATTCATATATCCCTTTGAAATCTTTCTCTCCCTCATCTGTTCCAATGGAATCTACATCATTCCTCCCCTCCTTTTCTGTCTTCCCTCAACCCTAATGTTAGTCCCGTTTTACAACAGTGGCCCTATGCAGTATTTGTCCTTTTGTGACTGAGATACTTCACTCAGTATAATGTCCTCCAGGGTCATCTATTTTGCATAAAATTTCATGATTTCCTTGTTTTTCAGTGTTGCATAGTTTTCCATAGTGTGAATATACCATTCTCTATCCATTTGTTTGTTGATGGGCATTTGGCTTGTTTCCAGTTCTTTGCTATTGCGAACACAGCCGCAGTAAACGTGGGTGTGCATATATCTGCTTGGGTGGCAGTTATGATTTCTTTAGGGTAAACTCCCAGTAGTGGAATTGCGGGGTCAAATGGTATTTCTATATCCAACTTTTTAAGAATGCTACATACTGCCTTCCATAGTGGTTGCACCATTTTACACTCTCACAAACAGTGAATTAGGGTTCCAATTTCTCCACAACCTTGCCAGCATTTGATGTTTGCTCCTCTGTTAAATTTTGCTATTGTTACTGAGGTGAGATGATATCTCATAGTTGTTTTGTGTGTATGTTTTTTAAAGTAATGCCCCCTTAGCTAAATACTTGATCAGTAAAATGGCAGTTAAATCCATTCTTTATATAAATTCTTTCCTATTTTAAAATATCTTCCTTTACGGTGAGTATATGTTAGTATGTTTGTGCTGCTTTTCCTCCATCCCCCAGAAATTAACTAAAATTAACTATTATTGTTATTGCTGCCCTAATTTCTTGCTACGTGGGCCTCTTTTAAGGGCTGTTGAAGTATCCTTACAACATGGCAGCTAGGTTTTTCCAGAGCCAGCAACCCAAGAGAGCGAACCTGAAAGAAATGTAATGTGGTGGCTCTCGTGACCTGGTGGCAGAGGTGACCCACCTGATCTGCCCCTGTGCTCTGCTAGGAGCAAGTCACTAACTTGAGTCCACTCCTAAAGAGCAGTAAGCTAGGAGGAATATCAAAGAATTCATAGATAATTTAAAAGCCACCACTCCAGAGACAGTTTTGCTTCATTGGTATTTGACAAGAGTTTTGTTTGTGAAATAGATTTTTTTTCCAATTGCCTCCGGTCAATACTTTGTTCATGGTGTGCCTGGAAAGACCTGTAGGTTAATTTTCTTTTAATAGCACATTTTCCAAAGATAATGTTCTTTTTTAGTTATTTCCTTACATTGGATTTGTAAGTGCTTAGAAGCAGCCATAATTTGCCTTTAGCGTCTTACATAACCGATAGCAGTTCAGCTAGCATGTCGCATACATTCAGTAGGTTTCAGAATGATAGAAAAGGGCCGTGGTCGTGCCCTTCAAACAGATTACTCTTGATAAACTCTAAGGCCTAGCATCTGAAAGGATAAACTTGAGTGTGACTATAGTAGGCTTAGTTCATTTGAGGATTGAACACCAGGGAGGACTTTGAGTGAAAAAATAGTCCTTAAAACAGAACATGAAGCTTGTAGCTTGCCATCAAGTAGACCCTGACTCAAGCTGACGCTCTAGCATAGTGGTTCTGCCCTGGATGTGGCCTTTGTAAAGCCATGATCTTTGCAGACCTTGTATTCTACCCCATCTTTCTCCCATAGAATGGGTTTTAGTTGAAAGTTAAGTGCTGTAACCACTGGGCCACTGGATCTCCCAGCTAGGCCTTAAGATTGGCCCATTGGTAAACTGAACAAAAAAAGGATGATGGATTAAGTTTCCAGAGCAAGATCCAAGACCAAAAGCCAGCTTTGTTCACTCCAGTCTCAAAAACTTTGCTTCCGCTCTCTGTTGTAGCTAATATTTATTAACTTTACTTTATGATTTCTAGTGGAATTGTTTAATGTTGAGAATGACTTGTTTTTTTATTTCAGGTAATGATGAAGTAAAGCGAGGTGTCCTCTTGATGCTCTTTGGTGGTGTTCCAAAGACAACAGGGGAAGGGACCTCTCTTCGAGGAGACATCAATGTTTGCATTGTTGGTGACCCAAGTACAGCCAAGAGCCAGTTTCTCAAGTGAGTGTTTGCCTGGCTTAATTCAGTAGAGAAATGCACATAATTCCAAGTTTTGTGCAATACCAAGAATGCACTCGGCCTACTTTTAATGAGGGTGAGGCCTGTATGTAGGACTGTTGGATACATAAGCCTCTTAGATTAAACAGTCTCCTTTTTTAAGTTCAGGATATAAAGATATCCCTTCTTTTTTGGACTAGGGAAAATTGCGGGAGATCTTAAGCCCACATCCTCCATACAATTACATTAATCTTTTTATTGTCTTTGAATGTCAGTATTTTCATGATTGTAAATCATAGTATTGTTGTTGTTGAGTTGGAACCAACTTGTAACTGACTCATAGCAGGTGTTCAGAGACAGTAATTTACATGGGAAGAGATAACTCATCTTTCTCCCTCAAGAGTAGCTGGTACTATGTAACTCTGAGCTTGTAGTACAGCTTTTTTCCTCTTAAGTCACCAGAGTTTTATTTTTAATTACTGATTACCTTAAATATCTTCCAGATCTTTTCATTTTCTTTTTTTATTAAATTTTATTAATTCTAATGCACATTTACAGAGATTTTGAGTTTCCATTCATTCATTGTTGCATTATTTTCTCTACTCTCATCCCCAATTCGTTCCTCTTTTTTCCCCCCTTGAAAGTCTGTTTTAATTGTCCCATTGCCACAGTGCTTGTCAAAGCCAGTTCTGATTAATCTCCTTTGTCAGTGTGTCCTTTGCCATTCCCTGTCACTCCTCCCTGATTCATAAGGAAAAGGGGACGGCGTATTCTCTTAGCTATTTCCTGCTGAAAAGGGATGCTGTAGGTTTCAGGGTGAAGATCTTCTCTCACTACTCTAAAGGGCCCCTTTGGCAATAGGAAACATGTAGACTATTGGGATGATTGATTTTGGAATTTAGATGCACTGTTATCAATTGTTCTTAGCCGTACATGTTCATATCCTTGCAGATGTATCATGGAACTATTACAGCCTGGAAGACACAAATTTAACTAATAAGTTAAAAGTACATGAGTCAAAACATAAAAAGCAATAATATTCCAAATAGAGGTTCTAATAGTGGCACAAATCAAGTTACAGAGGGAAGGTAGTTCTTAAAATAAAAGGCCTATTGACTGGCACTTTGTCTATTATAGTATAAAGGTTAGGAACCACAAGATGGTAGAGGCTCAACTATGTCATTTATTGTTCTTAAGTCCTGGAGCAAATCAGAAGTCTGCATGCAAGGCAGAGGTGAAGTAAGGAACTGCTTATGAGGTTTTCCGTCAATTCCAACAACTAAGAAATAGTGAGAAGAGTTGGGACCTCAGAAGGCTTTTAGGACCAAATAGTAGGCTCTTGTATCCAGGAGAAAACGAATATACTTACCAGTAATGTTAAGCTGTGGCTGACTCTCAGAAGAATGGGAATCCCAGAACATGTGATTGTGCTAATGGGAAATTTATACTTGGACCAAGAGGCAGTTGTCAGAACAGAGTAAGGAGACACTATAGGGTTCAAAATCAGGAAGGGGGTTCATCAGGGATGTATTCTGTCTCCGTACCTTTTCAATCTGTATGCAGAACAGATCATCTGAGATGCTGGGCTATATGAAGAGGAATGTGGCATCAGGATTGGTGGAAGAATCATCAGCAACCTGCGTTATGCAGATGACAAAACCCTGCTTGCTGAAACTGAGGAGGACCTGAAGCGCTTGCTGCAGAAGATCAAGGACTACAGCCTCCTATATGGACTGAAGCTCAACATCAAGAAAACAAATATTCTAACCACTGGGCCAATTGGCAGCATCAGTATGGAAGGTGAAGAGATTGAGATAGTTAACAGTTTTAGTTTACTTGGCTCCACAGTCAACACTCTTGGTAACAGCAGCCAGGAAATCAAGAGACAGATTGCATTTGGAAAGTCAGCTGTGAGGGACCTCTCAAGAGTACTGAAGAGCAACGATGTCAGGCTGGAGACTAAGGTGTGCCTGATCCAGGCTATAGTCTTCGCAGTTACGTGCTATGCATCAGAGAGTTGAACAGTGAATAGGGTTGATAGAAAGAGGATTGATGCCTTTGAGCTCTGGTGCTGGAGAAGAGTGTTGAATATACCATGGACTGCTAGGAGAACAAACAGGTTTGTCCTGGAGAGGGTAAAGCCAGAATGTTCCCTGGAGTCAAGGATTCTGAAGCTTTGTCTGACATATTTTGGGCATGTTGCAAGGAGGGACTGGTCCTTGGAGAAGGACATCATGTTTGGCAGAGTGGAGGGGCGGTGAAGGAGAGGAAGACCTTTGATGAGATGGATCGGTTCTGTGACTAGAGAGGTGGGAATAGGTGCATTTGAGATGGCTGGGTTGGCACAGGATATAAGAACATATAGAGCTCTTGTACATAGGGTCGCTATGAGTCGCAAGCAACTCGATGGCACATAACAACAACAACAGCAATGTTAATGCTCACCCACAGCTCTTCTGGGAGGATCTAAATCTTGAAGCGTCCTCCTTTGTTTCCAGCTGGGAGCTGGGGCCTGTCAGTTCTGTCTGCCACGAGGACCTGATGTGGGCCACCCTTGGCCAAGTGTCCTTCAGATCCACACTTAAAGCAAGTGAGTGGGAGCTTCCTCTCTACTCCCTTGCCTATCTGTGGCTCTCATCTGTGACTGCTCTGGTGGCCCAGCGTTCCACAGCGGAAGCAATTCTGACCTCCTTTATTACCTTTGGGTGGCACTGTTTATGAGTAAGACTTCCTTTTCCTGACATAGGCCCTAAACTGGCAGCAATAGCTTCCCCAGTCTTTTCATTTTCACAATGAACCTTTTTTGTTGATGAACTGTGACTTCCAAAGCCCTATTGCTGGACTTTAACGTGGCAGTTTAATAGGAGTCCTGAGAGGTATACATGGTCAATTCAGGCTTGGCTGCTGTCTAAAAAGTTGGAGGTTCATGTCTGCCCAAAAGTACATTTTAAGATAAGCCTAGTGATCTACTTCTGACAGACTCCTCCTTCACTTTCTGCTGGCAAGTTGGAGCCAATTCATGACTGAAGTCAGTGAGTTTACAGGTCGCAGGGGAGGAGACTGCCTGCCATTTACCCGCAGAGCTGCTAGGGGTTTTTTAACCACCCAGGCAGGAACTGCATCTTCTGGGTTAACATCACAGCTTTTCTACAACCACCACCACCAGGGCTCCCTTCCAGCCAGATAGCCAACCAGAAAGCTCTCTCGTGGGGTTAGTAGTTAGACTCTGCTCCACTGCAGCTAGTTTGATTTTCATTATTTAATGAGTACAGCATATGGGTAGAATGAACATGATCTGTATAGAAGTTTGTATTTTTTTATTTCCTTCGGAGACTTAAGAAAACTTAAATATGGACACATTCTTCAAAAACAATACTACACAAAGGAGACTAGTGGCAAAGTCTGTAGGGAGTTAGTTGCTGTGCTAACCCAACAGCAGCGTCTGTAGCAGTTCAAATCTGCCAGCACCTCTGTGGGAGAGAGATGAACACTCTCCCCCCGGTGTGCTGTGCTGCCTCCCAAAAACCCACGAAGAGTCAGCTATTCGTTATTTTCAAGTTTGTCAGAAACCTAGGACTCAAAATAATAGAATCTATTTAAAAAACTATCTGCTGTGGTCGGGAGCTCTGGTGGCCTATCGGGTAAGGAGTTGCACCGCCAACCCAAAGGCAGAGAGTTTGAATTCATTGGCTGCCCACTGTGTGACAGATGGGCATTGTCTTCCTGTATGATTATCACTGTCTGAAAACCTGCTAGAGGGTCAGCTGTGAGTCAGTTCCGACTTGATTAACAGTGAGTGTGGTGCTTTGTACGTGTCTTAATACTTGTAGTGCCCTGACATCATGTGCTTGCTGGTTTTCAGGAGAGAAACGTGAGACTCGGTTATCTGCCTAACTTCCTGTAGGTGACACATGACACTGAGCCACCATTATTAGCACTCAGATATTTCACTGCAAAACCTGTGCTATTCATACTGTGTCATGTAGCCTTTCTTAGAAAACGTGTGAGTTGGCACTGTTGTACAATATGGAACCTTTTTGCTTGGTTTGGTGTTTTGTGATTAAATATCTTTTTTTGCAATTTTTTATTATTAATTTTAATGAAATATACAGGGATTTTGGATTTCCATTCATTCATTGTTGCACTTTTCTCCCTGCCCACCCCTCCCCTCCAGTTGGTTCTTTTCTTTGAAAAGTAAAATAAAAATTCTTTCCTTGTTATACAATCCCTCCCCCTAAGTCCTCTCCAGTTCATTCTGGACTCATGTCATGATAATAATACATGATCATATATCCCTTTTAAACAGTTCTCTCTCTCTCATCTGTTTCAGTGCAGTATAAATCATTTGTCCCATCTTTCTCTGTCTCCCCTCCCCAACCCTTATGTCAATCCTGTTTTACAACATTGGCACTATGCAGTATTTGTCCTATTAAATATCTCTTTCATGTATCAGGAACTGAGGTCTCAATTTGAAGATGCTGGTCTTAGGGTAAATGGGGGTTCTCCATGTTCCTTTTGCTTCCTAACCTAAGAAAGCTGTATTACAGTGTTGCCTGTGATGTTTCGTAATGTTGTATGTGATTGTGTTAATGGAGAAATAGCTTTCCTATCTTATGATTTGTTAAAAATATTTAGAGAAACTTTACGTGCCATAAAATTCCGTTTTAAAGTATACCGTTCACTGATTTTTAATGTTCTCACAAAGATATATGATGATCATAACAATCTTAAGTTTAATATATTTTATCATTCAAAAAGCTACCCATATCCATTATCACACACACCCATCCTGAGTTCCCACGCCATGTGGATAGCTGTTCAGAATGAGTGCTGTGGTTTGTGGTTATGTTACACTGAGCTCCTTACAATAACTGTGTCCTTAGTCTCATTATTTTCAACAGAAGGTCTTATTTCTCAAACTTTGTCTAGCCCCCTTAATGTATAAACTTCCTTAACCTCATCTTAATCCCTATAGCCAATCAGTCAACACCTGCCCTTGGGATAGCCATCAAATATGATTTAGAAGCATCTTTCTTGGATACTTGAACTTGACTCCTACTCACAACAAATTGTTCACCACAGTCACCTTCATTTGGTGCAGGAGTGGTATAAGTCGACAAAAAGACTTGCAGCTTTTTCTTGTGCTAAAGTAATAAACATATGCACCTGTTTTGACTTAAGGTTTTTGACTTAAACATACACTCAGGCACAGATCTCATTGGTTTGTGGACTGCGTGTATGTCACTGTTTTTCACTGTCACATGTCATGCCATTGTATGAATATACTATGTTTTTTGTTCACTTATCAATTGATGGACATTTGTGGTGTTAGCACTTTTTGGCTCCTATAATTAATACTCCTATAAACATTGATAGACATTTTATGTTGACATTTTTCTTGCTCTGGTGTTATCTTTTTCACATGGATTTGCTGGATCAGGTGTTAATGATTTCATTTGGAGCAGTTGCTTGGATTTTCCAAAGTGTCTGCATCATTTACATTCCCACCAGCAGTGCTTGGGAGTTCTGGTTTCTCCACATGTTTGCCAGTTTCTGACTGTGTTTTTAATCATCACCATCCTGCTGGGTGTGATGTGGTTCGGATTTTCATTTTCCAGATGGCTCGTGATGTTGAACACCTTTTCCTGAGTTTACTGGCCATTTTGGATACTTTTCTGGAAAATGTTTTCGATTCTTTTACAATTTTTAAGTTAGAATGGTGATCAAGTTGTATATGTTCTTTTTGTATATTGATATGCAAATCTCATCCTTAAAAAAAGATGACTGAGCATAGTGTAGAAATTATCAAACTATATCATTAATATCATATGACACTGATAAGGAACTGCCAGATGGATACAGAAGAGGCTGTGGACTGAGGGATATGATTGCTACTGCCAAGTGTGTCTTGGCTAAGAACAGACAATATCAGAAAGATGTTGTGTTTTATTAACTTTGTAAAGGCATTCAACTGTGTGACTCATAAATTATGGATGATATTTCATAGACGATAGGGTAGAATGGAAATTCCAGAACACTTCATTGAGCTCTTGTGAAATCTGTGCATTGCCAAAAAACAGTTCTGTTAAAACAGTGGGATACCACATGGTTTAAATTAGGAAAATGTAATGTGTGTCAGGGTCGTACCCTTTCTCCATAACTATCCATTCTGTATTGTTGTTGTTGTTATGTGCCGTCGAGTCATTTGCGACTCACAGCGATGCTGTGTACAACAGCCCTAAACCCTGCTCTATCCTGTGCCAATCTCATTGCCTCTGACACACCCATCCTGATTACCCCAGTCACTGAATCAATCCACCTCATAGAGGGTCTTCCCCTCCTGCGCTGTCCCTCCACTCTGCCCAGCATTATGTCCCTCTCTAAAGTCCTGTCTCTCCTTACAACATGTCCAAAGTATGTCAGGCGAAGCCCCAGAATCCTTACCTCCAAGGAGCAGCCTGGTTTAACCCTCTCTAGGATGAATCTATTTTTTTTCTTGGCAGTCCATGGAACATTCAGTACTCTTCTGCAGCACCACAGCTCAAAGGCGTCAATTCTCCTTCTATCCTCCCTAGTCATTGTCCAACTCTCTGATGCATAAAAAGTGATTGCAAAAACCATGGCCTGTATCAGGTGCACCTTAGTCTCCAGAGAGACACCATTGCTCTTGAGTACTTTAGAGAGGTCCCTAACCGCAGACTTTCCCATCACAATACGTTTTTTGATTTCCTGGCTACTGGTGCCAAGAGTGTTGACCGTGGAGCCGAGCAAGCATTCTGTATACTGAGCAGATTATTCATTGTGATATCAGGATTGGAGGATGATTCATCAACAAGCTACATTATGTGTAGATAATACAACCTTGTTGGCATAAAGTGAAAAAGAAGCACTTACTGAAAAAGATCGAAGACTAAGAGCCTTCAATATTGATTGCATCTCAATGTCAAGGAAATAAAGTCCCAACCATGAGAATAGTAGGCAACATCATTGAAATTGTCAAGAATTTCATTTTGCTTGAATCCATAATCAACACCTATCAGTCAAGAAATCAAAAGACATGTTATATTGGGGAAATCCTTTGTCAAGAACTCGAAAGTGTTAAAAAGCAAAGATGGCAGTTTAAATTCTAAACCATTGAAGGCTTACAGTCTAACCCAAGCCATGGTATTTTCAGGTGACTTCTTTTACAGATAAGAACAGTAACAAAGGAAGACCAAAGAAGAATTGATGCTTTCAATTGTGATGCTGATGAAAAGTTTTGAATATATTGTGAAGTACCAAAATAATCTGGCTTGGGACAAAGATGGTGAAATTTCTTCTCACTTCTTTTGAGTCAGTCCTTGGAAAAATGCTTAGGTCAGTGAAAGAGAGGAAGACCCTCAGTGAGATGAAGTGATAATAGTGATTAAAAAAGTGGGCCTGCAGATGACGTGGAATGGGGCATGGGTTTGATCAGAGAGTCTAGGATTACTGTTTGTTTTAGTTCACGCAACCACACTTAACAACATATGCAAATCATGTATCAAACTATACTTAAATATTTTCACCTATTTAGTAGATTGTATTTTCTTCTAACGTAATATTCTGTGGAGCACCAAGGTTTTTATGTTTAATGAAGTCCATTTTGTTTATTTTGTTACTTTTTTTAAAAATTTTATTATTTTTCTGTGCGTGTACCGTCAAATCAGATCTGACTGGTACAGGAGGAGATTGCCCCTCCTTCCCCGGCAGAGCATCTGGTGGATTCGAACCGTGCACCTCTGGGATTGTAGTTGCAGCTTCTAGCTACTAGGCCACCAGAGCTCCCCTTATTTTGTTACTTTTTGTCACAGCTATTTTGTTTAAAGCCAAGGTCATTTATTTATGCCTATGTTTCCTTTGACTTGTTTAGGTCTTTAATCAATTTTGTGTTGATTTTTGTATGTTGTGAGAATGCACATCTTTGTTCTACATAGTCTCAATACAGTTTGTTGAAAAGCCTGTTCTTTCCTCATGTATTGTAAAAAATCATCTGGATGTAAAGATTTCTGGACTATCAGTTCTATTCCATTATGTCTGCTCTTATGTATACTGTCTTGATAGCTTCCTATTAATTCTTGAAGTTGCAAAGTATGAGTCCTCTTAACTTTGCTGTTCTTTTTCCAGATTATCCTCTGTCCAAAATCTTGGTTCCTACAATTTCTGTAATGAAATTAACTGGAATTTTGATAGGGGTTGTATTATCACTTTAATGATGTTAAGACTTTTAATTCATGAACATTGACTGTCCAGTTGTGTAGCATGCCCAAAAGTGTGAGTGGGCAATGCAGTCCTTACTTGGCCACCAGAGCTCCCTAAATTCTATATATTCACCTACAATTAAAGATCATTTTAACTTTCTTGTAACTTTTATGATTTTTCTTTTCTTTTTTTTCCCTTGACTCAACTCCAGCCCAGTGTTAGAATAACATGGTTAAAGTTACCTTGTGTCTGACATTAAATATTCAGACTTTCACTCTTCAAGTTTGGTTTTTTCCCTGTCTCACTCAATTTATATAATAATAATAACTTGAATTACATGATTTACAGCAGAGCCTTTAACTCTTGTGTTTCAGTGATGAATGTATAGGGTTTTCATAGGAGCCCTTTCTCAGATTGGAGAAAAATGTTCCTAGTTTCTTTGTAGCTCTGAGAATGCTGTGCTAGACCAACGTGGACAAGGTTGGTCTTCAGACCTTTTGTAAAGCAGCAGTAATGTTCTGGACACCTCTAGTAGCAACTCTTTGAACAGTGGATCTGAACCCTGCCCTACACTGTGCGGACCTCACCATCTCTGGCACCCTTGAGCCCATTGTGTCAGTCTATCTTATTGAGAGTCTTTTTCTCTTACTCTGAGCCTACCTTTCCAGCCTGAAGTCCTTCTCTAAGGACTGGTCCCTCCTCACAGTAAGCCCAAAATATGTGAGACAGGGCTTCACCATCCTTGCCTCCAGGGAGCACCCAGGTTTCACTTTCTCCACAATAGACCTGTTTATTCTGTTGGCAGTCAGATACTGAATATCCCATTGACTGCCAAGAGTACTAAACTGTTTCTCGATGGCTTCTTTTAGAATTAATGTTTCTGTCATGTACTGACTTCACATTATCATCTGACAAGTATATCAAAATCCATTTGTAAGGGCAAAGGAGATAAGGCTTCTTGTTCAGATCTTTTTCTGCTATATGGTGTGATGTGTATATTATAGTATGTATTTCTCTGAATTGCTTCACCAGTGCCTCTCAGATGTTCTTGTAATTACCCATGTAACTATAATCCATTCCATGCTACTTAGTGAGTGATGGCTTGAATAATCTCTCACCAACTCACTTCTTATGCACATGTTGATGGGTCTCCCCCCCATCCCGCCCCCCCATGTGTAGGTGATACTGGTATCCCTGGAAAAGTCCCGTATTAATGATCGTTTATCTCACAATGTCGAATAGGCATGTGGAAGAGTTCAGCCCCAGAGCTGTCTACACCAGTGGGAAAGCTTCCAGTGCTGCGGGCTTAACAGCAGCTGTCGTAAGAGATGAAGAATCACATGAGTTTGTCATTGAGGCTGGAGCTTTGATGTTGGCTGATAACGTAAGAACTTTTTTTTTTTTATGATCCATCTTTAATTTGGCTTCAAGTCATTCTCTAGCACTGGGTGGAAACAGTATGCTACAGCTGAGAAACAGGAAACCTAGAATGTTTTCATTACTATATTAGATACACTCATGCAAACTGTTATTTAGAAATGTTAAGAATTTCTTAATATTAATACATTCTTCTAGTTTTAAAAGACCCAGGGAGCTCTGGTGGCCTAGTGGCAGGAAGCTGCACTGAAATCCCACAGGTACGTGGTTCAAATCCACCAGATGCTCTGCTTGAGAAGAAGGAACAATCTCCTCCTATAGTAGCCAGATCCATTTTGATGGTACATACACACACAAAAGAATAAAATTTAAAAAAAAAAAAAAGAAGAGCCAACAAAGTCTATGTTCACAGAAAAAGAAAATCAATATCTGTGCATTTTAACAGGATCAATTAGGTTACCTAGCCACTAACAAACATATTCTGAATCTAGAGCCAAAATATTTGATTCTTCCTGAAAACACAGAGTGACATTTTTTTTAGCATTCGATGAGAATTGAGTAGTTTCCTGGACTGTTGTCTCTTGCTGTCATCTGCATAAGAAGTGCCATTTGCTTTCGTTCCGAGAGTGGATAACCAAAGAGAATGCTAACTGGGGTGGATTTCTTATTTGCAGCTTCTTTTTTTTGCCTTCTTCTTTTCTGGACCTTCTTTCTCTGAGTATGTCCTGTAAGAAGATATAAGTCTCTCCCCCCAATTTTCACTTGTATGTCCTGGATCTGAATCTGTGTCTGAATCTCGTTCTCGTAAGAACTTTTTAAACTACTGGGTAGAAACAAATCAGAATAGTCCTTACTCTCTCAGAAAAGGCCTTTGAATTTCTGTTTAAAAGATACTTTTAAAAAAGCATTCTTTTTTTGTCTGTGTGTACCGTCAAATTGGATCTGACTGGTACAGGAGGAGATTGTCCCTCCTTTTCCAGCAGACCATCTGGTGGATTTGAAACTTGCACCTCTGGGATTGCAATGCAGCTTCTTGCCACTAGGCCACCAGAGCTCCCTTAAAAAAAGCATTCTTAAGTAAGTTATTCATGAGTTTATTAGTGAGAACTTTGAATTGGGGCTTTCATTAGACACATGATGTTGCTTGCCCCAGCATAGGTAGCCAGTGCTACATACTTACAAGCCTTATTTCTAGATTGACAGTCAGTGGATATGTCTGAACTGTGGATTGATTAGGTCTTTGATGTATATAGCATGTTTTTTAAATGTGTGTTATATTCATTATGTTCTACCTTCTCTCGTCACTTCTCCAGTAAACAAGCACCAAATCCATGCCAGATTGACCCAGAATGACTTGACAATAGGGTTTACTTAAGGTTCTGGTGTTAAATAAAAGTGCAGAAAATGTTTTTAGTTTAGCTTTTTGTTTTAACAAGTGTCGTACATTTAAAAATGTATGAGGCTTGTAATGTACTTGAACTTGGTTTTGCTGTGTTTCCTAAGCTGCTTTTTTGAGTGGCTGACTCTACTAGATAAAAGAAGTCTGTTTATAAGGTTATAATATTTATGTCAGAACCATCTTCATGGCTTACCCTCTAGTGGGTTTTCAGAGACTAGAAATTGCCTGGAAAGATAGTGCGTTTTCCTTCTGCAGAGCGGCTGGTGGATTGAAAATGCCTGTCGTTGGGTTGGCAGTGCAGCTCCTTACCCACCAGGACAGCAGAGCGCCCTAACACTTAGTAGACTGGGCCAGAATCATTTTACTCTCTACCTCGGCTAAAGAAAACGTGTATTTTGTCAAAGATTTGGGTTAAGGTGTAAATCCTAACTGTATTAAAAGTAATAAATTAGTACAGGCATATCAAAACAAATGTATGAACCTCCCCTAGGAGAGTCCTTATGCCAAAAGGCTCCTCTGAACCCCTAGAAGCATTACAGCTTCAAAGACCTGCCATGAGGATCATGCTTCTTAAAGAACTATAGAATCAAACTTACAACTGCATCTCAGGAGGTTAGATCAGAACCCTGGGGAGAGGCAATGAGTTTATGCTAATTGGAGAGGAACCCCTCAAAACTAAATGTGAGAATGATCACAAAACTCAAATAATGTCATCAGTGTCACTAAATTATACAAGTTGAAACCGTTTTGGTGTCTGTTTTGCTTTAAATGTTCTCATAGACAAGGTTAAAGGCAGAGAAAACATACAGGGGCTCTTTGAGGAAGATGTATCATTGACTGGTTTTGTCATTTGAGATCATTAAACAGATTATTCCATCAGTATTGAGCCAGGATTGGAGCTTACGATCCCCACTGCAAGTGCTTTAAATCTATGCTTTTAGTTAATTACCCGGGGAAAAGTACAAGTCCTGCCGCTGTATGTCTACTAAACATTCTTGTCCTCTGGAGAGGATGTGAAAGTCTCTGTCGTTAAGAGAACAGACGGGTTCTCTCTGGTGCATACTTCATGAGTTTACTTGTAATGGGCCTTTTTGTTAAGCTGGATCTGTTTGTTTGCAGGGGGTGTGTTGTATTGATGAATTTGATAAGATGGAAACGAGGGATCAAGTGGCTATTCATGAAGCTATGGAACAGCAGACCATCTCCATCACGAAAGCGGGAGTGAAGGTGCGTGTGCCACCTCTGCTCCAAGCCTTCTAGGTTATGGGGAGCAAGAGAAGTTCACCTGCATGATGAGTTACCGTTCCCTGTGTAATGCTTATTAAAATGGGAAATATGGGTGTGAGAATTAGTTACCCATACTGTACGTGCTGGCTAGAATAATGTGCTGCTATGACAGAAAGTACAGACAGTACCAGTAACATTTTTAGCATTTTGTTTATCAAAATTTCCATATATAAAGCTTCTGTATTCTGATAAAGTGGTGTTTCTAGTTGTAATAAAAATAACCAAAGATAGAGTATTTAAATGAAGATCTCTGTAAGTTCAGCACTGTAACCAACATGAAAGGGAATAGAATACTTTTGTATATTAAAGCAGTATGTTCACGTTGTTGTTGATTTCCGTTGAGTCAAGCATGACTCTTAGCAACCCTACGAACAAAAGGCCCTTCTCTAACTGTCAGCATTTATCAAAATTCATAGTTTCTGGAGGCATGTTGTTTAGGAAGTAGATGCCACTCTTGGTTCCAAACCTGTCATAGAATGTTATTGGTTGAGTTGCCTGCGATGCTTAGTGACCCTATGTACAGCAGCTCTAAACCATTCCCTGCCCTGAGCAAGTCTCACTAATTGTGACACAGAAGCCCCCATTGCTCTAGTCACTTTATCAATCCGTCTCATCCGGGGTTTTCCTCTCCTGTGCTGCCTATCCACCCTTCCAAGCATGATGTCCTCCTTCAAGGACCGATCTCTCCTGGCCACGTGACCAAAGTAAGTGAGGCGGAGCTTCAAAATCCTAGCCTCCAAGGAAAGATTTTGTTTCACCCTCTCCAAGACATACCTATTTATTTTCTTGGAAGTCCATGGTATGTTCAAGACTCTTCTCCAGCGTCACAATTCAAAGGCATCTATTCTTCTGTCATCCTTAGTCATTGTCCAACTCTCTGAAGCATAACAAGTAATTGAGAAATCCATGGCCTAGATTAGGTGCACCTTTGTATCTAGACTGACATCGTTGCTCTTCACTCTGGAGAAGTTCATGACAGCAGATTTACTATTTTCTCAGTGCAGTTCATCTTTTGATTTCCTGACTACTGGTGTGAAGAGTGTCAGTTGTGGATCTGAGCAAGCTATAATTGCTAACTCAATCTCCATCTATTATGGTGTTGGCCAACTAGTGAGAATCAGTTGGCCTACTAGAATCTTTGTCTTCTTGATGTTAAGCTTCAATCCATATTGAAGACTACAGTCCTTGACCTTTTGCAGCAAGTGCTTCAGGTCATCTTCAGTTACACCAAGCAAGGTTGTGTCATCTGCATATCATAGGTTATTGATTACTCTTCCTCCTATCTTGATGCCACGCTCCTCATAAAGCCCTGCCTCCAGAATGATCTGTTCTGCATACAGATAGAAAAGGCATGGGGACAGGATGCATCCCTGACGCACTCCTTTCCTTATTTTGAAACATGCATGCAGTGTTTCCCTGCTCTGTTCTGAGGACTGCTTCTTGGTCCAAGTATAGGTTTCGTATAAGCCAAATCAAGTGTTCTGAAATTCCCATTTTCCTCAAGGGTTAGCCACAATTTATTGTGATCCATACTGTCAAATGCCTTTGCATAGGTAATGAAACACAGATAGACATTCTTCTGGTATTCGCTGCTCTCTGCCAAGGTCTATCTGACATTGGTAGTAATATCCCTAGTGCCATGACCTCTTCTAAACCCAGCTTGTATTTCTAGTAGTTCTCTGTCAATGTACTATTAAGTCTTTTGTGGATAATCTTCAGCATGATTTTGCTAGTGTGTGATATTGTTAGGTAATTTTCACATTCTATCGGGTCACCTTTTTATTTGAATGGGAATAAATACGGATCTTTTCCAATCAGTTGGCCAACTAGTTGTCCTCCAGATTTCTTGTCACAGTTTGGTGAATACATGCAGGACAGCATCTGTTTGCTAAAATATGGCACTTGGTATTCCATCAATTTCTGGGGCTTTATTTTTTTGTTTAGTCTTTCAGAGCAGCCTGAACTTCCTCTTTCATCACCATTACCTCTTGCTCATATGTTGTTTCTTGAAATTCCTTTGTGTCAGCCAATTCTTTCTGGTAAAATGACCTTGTATATTCTTTCCATCTTCTTTTAATGCTTCCTGAATCATTCCATATTCTGCCCATAGAATCCTTAAGCACTGCAATTTGTGGCTTGAATTTATTCTTCAGTTCTTTCCGTTTAAGAAATGCTGAGCGAGTTTAGCCCTTTTGATATTCCAACTCCAGCTCCTTGTATGTTTCATTATAATATTTTACCTTGCCTTCCCTAGTGGCGTTTTGAAACCTTCTATTCAGCTCCTTAACTTCTTGGTTTCTTCCCTTTGCTTTGGCTTCTCAGAGCTCTAGTGCAATATTCAGTCTCTTCTGACATCCACTTTTGTATTCTTTTTCCTTCTTTTTAATGACTTTTTGCACTCTTTATGAGCAATATTCCTGGTATCTTCCCACAGCTTATCTCGTCTTTATTCATTAGTGTTCAAGGCCTTAAACCTATTCCTGAGTTGGTTTTTAAATTCAGGGGGATAGACTCAAGGTCAAATTTCGATTTTTGAGAATATGATTTAACCCCCCTAAAGTGTAAATGAAAAAGTGATTCTTCCCTGGCAATCCTAGACCATTAGATACTTGGAGTTTTATTCAGGACTGTTGTTTATAAAAACAAGCAAGTATTGATAGTTTGATTACTTGCTCATATAACATCATAGTTTTAATTTTGCAGTCTTTCCATAACAGCACGTACTCTCATCAACGTTAGTTGTTTATCACTTCACTTAGCCTTTTGTACATCAGCTTAGTACATCAGACTGCTGTAGACTGACATCTGAGTGATTTCCAGTCTGTGTTTCATGCGTGTTCATGAACTTGCAGGGGTCAGCACATCAACACCATCATGGATGAGCCCGTTTACAGCAGTTCGTTGATGAAAAATCCTTTTGATTTTGCATTGACTTTAATTATGAGCAAGATTGTGCACTGTGTTGTGTAGATATTGGTTAGTCTTTAAACCTGTTGTTGTGTTGTTTTTTTATTTTAATCAGGCCACTCTGAATGCCAGAACGTCCATTTTGGCCGCAGCAAACCCTGTCAGCGGACACTATGACAGGTCAAAGTCATTGAAACAGAATATAAATTTGTCGGCACCTATCATGTCCCGATTTGATCTCTTCTTTATACTTGTGGATGAATGTAATGAGGTAACCACATGAACTCTCACTTTTTTTAAAAACTGAGATTTTAATCAAAGTTTATACAGAACTTGGATTTCCATTCATTCCTTGTTGCACATTTTCCTCCCTGCCCATGAACTGTCACTCTTTTTTTT